CATGGCGGTGCGTGTGCCCGCGCGCGCATAAAACGGGCCGATCACGCGTGTGCGCGCGAGTCGCGGCGGTCGCGCGTGTGCGTGAGGAGCGCAGACGGAGAACGCGTTGGTGAAGTATCGGAGAACTACACCCTTCTCTTATTCTCCACGTTGTATAAGAGCTTACCCTCTAAGCATCTTAGGGCAAGTTTTCACCCTTGCCTCCAGCGAGCGAACGGTACGTTCGCCGAACGAACCGGCGATAACGGCGATCGTGTTCGTCGGCGAAGGGATCGACCGAGTGCATTCTCGATGAATGAGGATGTCCGTTTTTTTTCCCCCCCAGGCGTAGTCTTCTCACCATCTCTCGTAGTCAGTCCAGACACTATTGTTCCAGCCATTGCATGCTTTTGCGACAGTTCAAAAAATCGAGTATTGTCTATTCGTAGTTTATTGAGATAGTGTTTGCCGAAGATCTCGATAATTTCTAGAAGAAATTGCAATTTCGACGAGTTTATAAAAGAGCAACAGTATCGTATGTTTTTTAATCAATTCTAAGGATGTAAAATCACATGTTTTATTGCACGTGAATTCAAGGAATGGCACTCTCTAAAAATCAATCAGTGAATCGTCACTGGAAACGGGGGAATAGTCACGTTAGCTGACGTAAATGCGATGCGAGAGTAACTTCAGATGCTATTAAGATACTTCGTTGGCTATGCGTGATCTAGTGGCTATGAATCGACTAACACTTAGATTTAGAAGGTTTCGTCGCGTGGTCGGTGATCTTATAAGCTAGAAGGTTATCTCATTATGTCTTATCCGTTGTTTTCGACGGACGTGAGCTTAGCGGCACTGAAAGAGCTTAAATTGCACGCGAGCTTACGGACAATGGCGTGCTTTGCATGCGCGAAGCAACGTTCAGCGCTCGAGAAAGCTGGAAGCTATCCAGTATTCGTCTGATCATAAACGACGAGCGAGATCAATCGAGTTCCTCGATCAGGTGAACGTAATGCGTTGAATAGAACGGATGCGTTGGTAAAGTCTCAGCGAGCATTAATTCGAGGACATTAACGGAGGACTCGGGTGACTAAACCGGGATGGACTAAACGGCTTGTTAGCGAGAGAAAAATCAAAACGACGCGGGAGGGCAAGAGGGGAGACACGGGGAAGGAAAGAGAGGGGAAGAGAGAAAGAGGACGGGTGTCGCAGATAAAGACTTCGAAAGAGCCGGTCGCTTATCTGTAAAGACCGACATCCGCCGGATCAGCCCCAGATACCGAAACCACCCACACTTTCCTTCTGGTGCACGCGCTTAGGCTAAGTTCCGAGGACGGAAGCAGCCGACTTCCAGGGATCGCGAATTCCGCCGCACGCCGCAGCTGGGCGCAGATATCCCGATGGCGCGATTCGTTTCTCTGGAACATGCAAACTGCAAATTGGGTTTTTCGGGATCGGCCCGAGCGAACGGGCGCGGGTCAGCGGAGAAGAATAGCGTTATTCGGACGAGTTGAACCAGGCTTCGTAGCCTGATTCGATTTCGAGAGATTAAGCCGAGTCGTCTTGGATTACCGAGTCATCAAGACGAAGAAGAAGCCTTAAGACTAACGGTCCCTGGATGCACTGAGTTTGCGCTCTTCGGTCGTGGTACTTTAGATAAAGATGTCAAACGAGCGATAACTTTCTTATATCCTTTAAAAACTTGTATCATTTTTCCTGATAAGCACGAGTACAACTCGTGCTTGGGTGGCTGATGCATTCACGCATGAATAATAACTTCAAAATTCTCAAAACAACGTTTGTACTGCCTTTAGCCACATATAATGTTGTGTGAACTTATACGTTTAATTAACCCTGGCCGAGGTGATATTTTTTCGCAATAAATTTAGAATAGAATATTTAGACACTACCACCCTGTCACGGCTCTGAGTCCTTTAAATTCTTTGAAATTTGTGTTTAACACATACGAGCCATACTAATTTATTTAATTAACTTATTGTACAACTCACGAAAGTTAAGGACGGTCAACCATTTGAGTGGATTATGACTCTTCTTTCTCCTAAATTGAATATTTAATTCAAGTGTTTAAATACCTAAATAAAAAAAAATCTCAATTCTCAGCCCCATTTTAAGCCAGCGAGAAATTAAATTCACTTTATTCTCCCTCCTCTTCAGCGTTCTGCTTAATCGCATCCGAGCAAGCCGATATATCAACGGAAACGTCACTGTCGATGAATCTAAATGGCGTGTGCTTTTCCCGTCAGTGATTTAGAAAGATCCTCGGTAATCTCGGAGCGCGCTGGTAATCATCTCGCGCGCAGAAAACGAGGGTCGCGATGAGACGAAAGAAATATTCGGTGATTCTTTGGCCGCACCCCCTTCAAATCGCGCTTTCCGTGCCGAACGCGGCCATTATCGCGTCTGTGCGGAGTGGGCGATAGCAGGGTGCCGAAAAATATGTTCCAACTTTTTATCTTGTATCTGCCGCCAGCGCCTCGGCGCAGAACTGAGCGTTCTGTTAATTTGCAAAGTTGAATCTTCCATAATCGTGCCGCGAGTCCGATGCGTTCGGCCACAAAAGCGGACACAATTCCGTACGGAGAAGGACGAGAGGGAGGCGTCATTCTGTAATTGTTAATTATTTTTATTTTAGTGTAACATGTGTGAAACATGTTCTTTAACAGCTTTGCTGCTGATTTATTTTAATAATTGTTCTATCTACGAATTTGATAATTGCATATATTTTTAATTTCTCTTACTTGTACGATTAATGAAGTTAACAATTGTACATGTTTATTTTCGGCGTTTCCGATACTTCTTGACTTTCAATTGCAAATAAATATTGTTCCACAAGAGGATGACATAAGTCAAGTTAGCGATAAATAGATTGCGGCAAAACAACAATACGAGAAATCACTAACGCGAAATGCAAGACGAAGCCGTCATGATGAAAAAGAGCCATCGAGAGAAACTGGTTTCGCTTCTTCAAGGGTTGCTCTTTGGATGAATCTTATCTTTCGACGAGAGCTGTCAAAGACGAAACGGCATGACGCTTCCGTCGTGCGGGAAGATAACCGGAAGCCCGATAGGTTCTGCACCAGAAATGAGAAATGTCTTTGCGGTTGCAGAGATTAAAGATTTCGCGGATGAGTAGTTCCTATCGTTTCCATTTCTTCTTTCGCGCTCCTCACGATGGACTTTTAACGTTTTGTTGATTAACGTAAATAAAAGTGAATTAAACAATTGAAAAATGTACTTTGAACCTAATTTTATTGTTATTAATACACCGTATGGCAGAAAATGCTTTCAATGTATCCATAAATAGAACCGGGGACTCAGTTTTATTTTAGATTTTTAATTGTACAATAAATCTCATAAACGGGCGCTTTCGTGACTCGGCAGCGAGTGTATCGCAGACGTCTCGCGTCGCGACGACGCGTCGGTAATAAACAGAGCGCGTAATACGTCCCCGCGATTAAGTCCTGCGGCGTAAAAGCCCACCTTAAACCAGCTGATCCCGGTACAAAGACGACGCAAGGACGGGGCGCCTTAATGAAAACTATACGTACCTAGATTAAGGTGGACACTGGTCAGCCTTCGGACCCGCCAGATACGACCTGTCTTATGCAACGTAGGGAGCGGGCTCTATGATGCCCGGCGTATTAGATGGAAGTTTCGGCCATTAATACCTAATATCGTGCCGCCGGGCAGTAAATCCTTTGTTGGTCATCTTTGACGGGGACTTAACGCCTTGCTTCAAGAGACGCATTCGACCTATCTATCAATCCGGGTACAATCCAATATGCATTTTGATTAGCTTATCATGTTCGCGAGGGGTGCAATTTTGATATCGACCTACTGTCGCGAGTGTAAATCTATTGTATGAAAAAATTTTTTTATACATCACCTTACTGTAGGGATGTTAGTCTACCGTAGTCCCTTGCCTAAATTTCAAGTTGATTTCTTCCGCGCTGGTTTCCTGACAAAAATGTAGTCGCGCATCCCGGACAACGCGAAACGTACGAGCGGGTCGGTAAACAGAACGTTCAATAATCTCATCGAAAATTTGGTGGTGCTCTTTAATGGCTAAGTGTAGGTACCGTACAACCGGGAATTGTGTGGGTGGAACTTTCCCTCTTCCACCCCCTTCCCTAAAGTCTTTCTTTCACCATCCCTCTCTCTTCCTTCTCGCACTCCATTTCCTCGGTTTCGCAGAAGTCTGGGATTATGACCTGAAGTGGGATAGACTCCCGGACTTAAGTCAGGGTTACACAAGGATCGCAGCTATTGTGCCATCGCGCAGGTCCCATTGTCTCGGGATAGACGAGTGGATCTGCATATGCTTAGCGCCGGAGTTAAACTTCTCTCTCTCCCTCTCGCGTCTCGCATAACCCTCTCTTTCTCTGTCTCTCTCTCTCTCCGACTTCTCTCGGCGATCTTCAATGCGCGCTCCGCGAATCATCCTGTGCCCCTCGAATTTGGATGCCGAAACGCCGAAGACTATACCTATTGTCAGCCGGATGTACAGAAACTAGTGCTTCAGCCGAAGCTACGAGACGATTTGGGGTGTTCATGAACTCGCGGAGCCTTCACGAAGACATCTTTGGTTCTCGAGTTAAATTAATTGGACTTGCTACAACAAGTCTTTATTTTTCGAAAAATCGTAACACTCTTAATACTTAAATAATCATAGTGAGAGGCGTGGGAAATCGGAAAAGAAATAGTTGAAATATTGACAAAAAATAAGGCAATAATGTTACAATACATTACAGGGTTTCTGAACTGAAAGACCAACGTAATTGTATGAAAAATTACATGTCTTGCATTCAGTCAAAATTTTTAAGACAGCCGTGGAATTTTCAATTGAAGATTTACATTACATGCAATGAAGTCACATTCGTAAAATGATGTAATTGTTAGCTAATTTGTTACCCATAGTAAATTTGTTGCTCCATTGTTATCCGTAATGAGAGCGGATTGTCGAGCACGTTACTTCATGCAAACTCTTTTGTCTGTCGCAGCGAAAAATCTGCCGGTGCATTGTGTGGTGGAGACGATTCACAATATCGTGGAAAGCCATGTGAGCAACAGCCGTGAAAAATGGCGGAGTCCCCAAGTGGAGACGGACTCTTACGTTATTATCCCGGTAGCTATGCCCTTTCAGGTAAGAATTACTTTCTTTTATCATATACATCCATTGATACAACATAAATGGTTGCGGTTAAAAAAAATTGAAATTGATTTAGATTACGATTTGCTACTTTTAGAAATGAAATTTTCACGATACAAATAAGAAATTTATTATTTAAATAAAATAATAAGTGAAATTGAATTTAGAAGGAAATTAAAGTCTTTTCCGTAAGCTGTACTGTCCTTCGCGCAAACCAGGAAGTTTTGATAAAGAAAATAATTATTTTGACTAGAATTGTTGTAAGATTTGGACATGAACAAAAAAAATTAATAATAATTTTGCTTTTTCGCCGACAGGATTTGGTGGGCGAGGCGCTTGTTCGTCTGGGATACTCCAGTGATCTGATACCAAGTGCCAGGGGGAGCATCGTCATACGTAACTGGAAACCTCTGCCGATGGAGAAAGTCGCCGATGGACCGCTGCTAACAGTAGGAGACATCCTGGCCGAATTAACGTCAGTGGCGACCTTGAAGATTCAGGTGTACAGATCCAGGCCGCCACCTCCCAGTCCAGCAGCTGAGGTTAGAAACAAATTGCTGAGGTTGCTCCTGTTGCACAGCCATACGCTTCTCGTCTCCGCCGGGTGCCCCTTGGACGAGGTAGGATGCTTTTAATGTTGAAATTTATATCTTCATGGGTCTTAGGAACTGTTAGATATTGAAAAAGAAACGCATGTGGTTGCATCACATTTAATTTATTAAGCACTTATAAAAAAAAAGCGTTTGCAATGAATGCCAGTGGCGAGATGCAAACGAAACCGTATATCTTTTTACCAATGTAAATTATTTTGAATATTAGATCGTCAGTGCTCGTATCCTTGGCATCTGAAAGTCGCAGAATACTATTTTAAAAATGAAACTTCCTCGAGTTCTTAAATGAACGCGCGGCGTATCGCATCTTCTCTATTTTCTCTCATATCTCGGCGCCAGTAAAAAGCTGGTGCGTTTATTTGAAGAACGAGGTTGAACAACGGCGCACCGAGAGAATTTAGGGGCCATTCGGAGGCGAGATCGGAGCAGGGAATATTTGTAGTAAGACGACCGCTTAAAAATGTATAAAATGTAAATCTAGCCAGAGAGTGTTTGTCGTCGGGGCACTTAATCTCATTAAGAAGTCCTCCGGCTCGGTACCCTTGTACTCGGTACCTCCCGTAAGAACGGCAAGTGGTAATCTTCGGTAGATTCTTGCTCGCGGCTCGCTGATCCTCACCTTGAATAAATGCTTTCTTGGTTTCGAGAAGTCACCAGTCGAGAAGTCGCCGCGCTTTTGGTAGCTCTCGTTCCCGTTCGAATAATGAAGCTTCCCCCTCAATCTGGATACTCGTCTTATTCTGGAACATTTTACAAACTACGTCAATAAAAAAACCGGCGAGAAGAGCCGCTTCTATTTCGTCACGCTAATTCTTATTGGTTGTTACAGACTTATATTTGTCTCTTTCCGAAAACCAGCAGAAACGCGTATTTTCCCCGAATCTCTCGATCTTAAGATAACGGAAAAACAGACGATGGTTGCGATTTAACTATAATGAGAGAATTTTATCGCAACACGTCAACGTTTCGCTGACGATTCGACGGTTTCGCAAAGCTGATTCGACAAAAGTTTATTAACGCTGCGCGAACCAGCGCGGCTCTCACTCAATCTTTGGCTCCGTGGGCGAAACCGAGTAATCCCGACTATTCCAACTAACGTGGAATTTTTCCCGCGATGACTTCTCGGGAAGTTTATCCCGATTACGCGATCCTCTCTCGACACAGTTCCCCGAAGATTGAAATAGACGCGCGATTTTTCGGGCTGGCCCGCGCGCGCAGACGTGCCCTTCCGACTACGGAAGATCTCGTAGCGTGTGATAGGATTACCCTTTACTCAACCAAATTCGCAGCCTTCATCAAAAGCCCCCTCGATATCGGTATTGGGGGGAGGGGGAGACGGAGAGGTGCCCCGCCGCCTCCTCCGAGCCGGCATTATCTAAGTGCACTCTCTTTGAAGATCCCGCTACCCGCCCATCCCCGAACTTTAATGCCGCTCACGGTGGTCTATGATTACCAATTTTCCCTGGCAAACGTTTCCTGCTTGAGTTTCGTAGCCCGACGGCTAATGGCGAACCGCTGTGATGGAGAACCGACGTCTCTCGCATAGATTTGGCTTAATCTGACGATGATGCACGAAGACGTGCCGCCGAGCGATTTTCCCTCTTCTCCTTACGTACGGTACTTCCTGGCAATCGTACGTTTTACAAGAGATTATAAATTATATATTTTACCGCCGTGAAGAAAGTCCAAGGTTCCAAAAATTTTCCCGCTGGCGACAAATTTCTTGCAAAGGCAAGGGATATTTTTTTTTCAAATGGGAGAATTGACAGAATATCGTTGCCTATGTCAGGGTATGTTCCTCTATTAATCTTTAATATTGAATTCGAAATAAAATCAGAATTGAAACTTCAGATAAAAATTGTGTCCGTGTTAAAGTTAAATTGAAAAGTTCTGTTACTTTCTACATTGCGCAATTGTTTTATCTTGATGCAAATAATGTTTGTTACAAGATTAGTACCAGTTATTTCTGGTACAGTCGTGACTCAGATGAAGTGCACAATTTGTGGCATTCGGATATATCAAAATTGCAGAGCAATTAGAATTTTAAACAAGCAAAGTCGTGCAAACGAGGAACGCTAAACCACACGTGATTTTTGAAAAGCACTGCGCTCGTATTTCTTTCGGGATAATGGAAAGTTTCGGAAAGGTAATAAATACTTTTCAAGGGGCTCGGGCGTGAAATTCGCATTAATTGGGATCGGCAAACATAAATCATCAGTGTCAACGCGATTTCAGACAATAAAAAGCAACGAAATCTGCTTTGAATCCTATTTAGTTTGAAATGTAGAACAGTGATGTTAACAGACGTCGCCTGATATATCAGGATTAGGGCTTAACCGTATTTATAGCGCGGCAGCGGCATTTGATTTATTTACTATATATTTTTGCAAAATTTTTTGCGTATATCCCGCGAAATTTGATTTACATTTTTATATAAATACATATTTAAAGACTAAAAGGATTACATTAACTTTAATTAAGACTTGACGATTACAGCATCCACTTCCTTAACAAGATAAAATTCACATAAAGTTACACGTGTCAAAATAATAAATATACTGTATCTTATATGTCATGTCATATTTTTAGTTTGATGAAAAAGCTACGGACCATCTGCATTAATAATAGTTTCGAATTTGGTCGACCAATGTTCGTTTCACCAAACGTTTATAATTCTGATGTTTTGCAGAAGAACTATGCTCAATTGCCGTAGCAACAGTTCCTGATGTATGCGCCGTGAATTTCGCGATCTCGTTGCGATCTCGCGGATTGTTTGATCAGGGTCCCGTGATCGCGATTGATTTACCACTGTTCTATGGATCAGCCGATTGCCGCGCGCAATCACTCTTAAATAATAAATACGTGTAAATCAGGCTCTCGAACCGCGGCGCGATGTCGTCAGATAAGCCGGTCGCTCCGCTTTCGACGATGTGCCACTATTTGCCAAACGATTTCTGAAATCTTGAAAACGCCTGTCAAGACTCGCGCCTCGCCTGCCTACCTAGAGTGATTAAGTGCGGTGTCGTAAAACTGAGGCGGATGAGAATTCGAGGAGGTGACTAGCGGGAAGCCGTTGGCGGCCGGATAATTGTTGTCTTGATATCTGACGCTGCCAAGGTGTCAGGGATACGCGACGGATTACCGCGTTATTAAAGTGGCGTCGAGTGCCTGATCTTCCAGCCCGCAGATATATTTGTTCTTATAAATCATCGGCCAGATAAGGCGCGTGTACCGCTTCCTGAGGCGCGAAATTTTCCATAATCTGTCATCTTAATGCCGTGACGACGGTGACGCTAAACGATGTCGCTTCGTAACGCCTGCCTGCGTCAACAACCAGCCGACGAGAGATCGATCGTCGGTAGAATTTGACTTGGCGTAATAAATCCATCCCAGTAGTTTTACTTCCATCTTTGTAGGAGTCTCTTGTTTTCGTCTTGTCTCGAGGACAAAGAGCAAGATGACACGAAGGACTACATTGCGATTATGCAACCATGAATTGATAGTCTTTTAAGAAAAACATCCTTAAGTATTCTTCATAAAAAGGTGATAAAAAGAGATACAAAAGTATTTCGATGAGAAAATATTTCACGTAAAGTGTTCAAAATCAGTCTTCCAGCGCGATATTTACCGCCACGCAACCGAGTTTGTTGCCATGCTCCAATTCGGCGGTCACATCTCGCGATTTCCGATCGGTCAATCAAGCGTGCGTTCTTTTGCGCGGCCTGTGAGGGAGTCCAGTCGTGATTCGAGAAGGTGCTGAACTTTACAGTAAAGCTCAATATGAGCCGGAAGAGTGAGATCTTTGGGGGAAGATCACGTGGCCTTTTCCTTTTACAGATGACCCTGCTGTCCCTCTGTCGAGGAGGCAATGACCTGTCAGAAGAGACAAAGAGAAATTTCGAAACGTGGCTGCAGCAGCAACAGATAGGTCTCGGTATGAACCCGATAGCACCCACTTCCAATCATCATCATCACACGCAAAGTCCACAGCCCGACAGCGGTGGCACGATCGCTCCCAGCGGCGGACCGATCGGACCGCCGCATCCGGCGCTACTTCAGTATTCGCACAAGACCAGGATGAGGACCAGTTTCGACTCGGAGCTCGAGTTGCCGCGTCTCCAGCGTTGGTTCGCCGAGAATCAGCATCCGTCGCGCGAGCAGATACAGCACTACGTCGCGGAACTGAACTCCCTGGAGTCGCGCCGCGGTAGGAAACCGCTGGACGCGAACAACGTTGTGTACTGGTTCAAGAATGCCAGGGCGGCACAGAAGAGAGCCAGCATGAACGGCTGCAGTCCGCCCGGACTCAGCCCGAGGGGCGCCAGTATCGTCAGCGAGGACTGCACGGACGAAGAGGAGGACACTAGGCATCAGGTACGTCCTGTAGAGGAAGAACTGAAAATGTAATTGTAACATTTGAGAGAGGTGCTGGGGATTATTTCAAATTGCTCTCCTCGACGTCTTGTCGTCACAGATATTTTTCTTGAAACGGAGAATAGCAAAAAGTAAAAATCGTGGCTTTTGGAACATAATAATTGATGCATGGACCCTACGAAAAGTTGCAAAGACACGAAGCTTCTCGAACGCTGCGCTTTCAGTCGACATCGGGGTCACCCTGTCCACCGAGCAGTCCACCCGTCGGTCCTCTGTCCTTGACTACGAGACCGGAGGATCAGCAGCAGCCACCGACGTCGACTCCGTCCTCGGTGAAGCAAGAGGACGCGAGGGTGTCCTCCGGTTCCGAGGACGACGAGACCAGGCACACAGGCCCTATCCCGCCGGGATTTTCCTTGGTGCCTAGTCCAATGTTCGGCCATGGTATAATGTACATGTCGCATTATCTGCCGCCGCGCGGACCGGCTGGTTGTCCCACCAGCATGCTGGCCGACGAGAGAAGGAAGAGGAACCGGACGTTCATCGATCCCGTGACGGAAGTGCCGAGATTAGAGTATTGGTTCAAGCGAAGCACTCATCCAAGCCACGCGGTACGTATTAATCGTTAATTTGTCTCTCTTTCGACGGTGATATTAACATGTTACGCGAGAAATTTCTGTCGATTATAATTGCACGCTGGATACAATTACGCACTGAACGCAGCACTTGATTGCGCACAGAAGCGCATTCCGCTTTTACGCGCATTAGTAGAACTTACTGAATAATTAAGAAACGTAGAGTTAGTCGACGTTTAAACTTTCTTGTGTACAACTCTTTTCTAAACAACTCCATTGCTGGATTAGATGGTGGCTATTGGAGAAATTGAGTTTTCAACTCCCACTTTACGGGAGATTCGCCGAAATCAATTTTTACGATCGGTCCATAGCTCATTCTGTCGTACACGGAGGAGCTGAACAAGATGCCCTATCGCCAGAAGTTTCCGCGTCTGGAGCCGAAGAACGTGCAGTTCTGGTTCAAGAATCGCAGGGCCAAGAACAAGCGGCTGAAGATGGCTCTGTTCGAGGGCGAGTCGCCGCAACAGCATCCATATCACGCCGACTAGTTAATTTCCTTAAATAACGCCGACTAGGGACAGATGCGCGAGAGAGGCAGGGACTGCGCGGCACGGAAATAAAGGGAAATCGTTAATCGACTTGTTACTCCTTACTATCGTTGACACGCGGCTTTAACGCTTATTTCAGCCGCACATTCATTGTAATTATCACGTAACAATTAATATAATTATTATGAACTTTCATGAGTGTAAATACGAGATGATGTCGAATAAAAGGTATACGCCACGACAAAATAATATTATTAAGCATCCGCCCTTTGCGCCACGTGCAAATTGGGACGTGTCGGTATAAAAACGGCGATGGTATTTCCAGACGATTAATATTTATCGTTAATTTATGTATTGATTATACCTGGATATAAAGGCAATACTGGAGAAATAGAAATAAATATGGATCGTCTATGAACCTGTACACATTAGATCAGCTTATTGGAATGTTCTTTTTCAACTTTCCAATTTATTACGAGTTCATTTGTCAAATTAGCGAAATATTTTACTTTATTATTTCTAATTCGATTTCTAGGGACACGTCGCGCGACGAGTTTTCTTTCTCGGCGAGTCGCCGTGAATTTTGCAGCTCAAGAAGAAGAACGGATCGAGAGGTAAGAGCTTTAAGAGCGACGTCATACACGGCACGTCTCGTTCAAAGGGCGAATACAATAAATCGCCAAATGGTGTTTCGAGAGTTTCGTAGAGCCTGTAATAGCATATATATGTTAAGCGGACGGTGGTGTGTTCACGCGCGTGTGCATGCAATAGAAACGCGCACAACGATACTGTCTCCAAGTCTACGAATGCACAAAGCGGCCGCCCCGACCGAAATCTCGCAGCTAAGATAAGACAGCCGAGCTGTCATCGAGTCAACCCTAACTCAAACGTCACAATAGTCAATGAGTCTTTCTCTAAAAGCGGCGTACTATCTGTCTACGGCGCTGCTCGCGTTCGCGTCGCTCGCGAGAGTTTCAGGGACAGTAAGACCGCGGATGCGGCAGGGAATGACAAAGAGACCGGATGAAGCGGAAGCACGGTGTATTGACGCGTAGGAAAAATAGCGCGGAGATAGCCAACGTCTTTCGTTACTGATATTTTTCATCGCTGGCGCCATGACCTTTTTGCGAGAAGATAACGCACTTCGTGTTATCAAGTTTCCGCTTTTCGTTGACGGCGCGCTTCATACAGGGCTCTAAAGGACAACTTATATTATCAATATTCCACTGGTAGATCTGTGTAAGAAGCAAACGATTATCAAACAGAGTCGGATCCATATAGCAACGTGCGGATTTGCGAGACGTGCACCGTTCGCGTAGCGAAACGGAAGACTTTCGCGTTTAAGTAGCGATGCGCAAAGACGATGCCGAGGGGATACCGCCTGTCATCTACGACACGCGCACAGGACCTGTCGTCCTGGTGCCGGGCCTGCCGGGGGTCGTCCCGGATTTAATGAGGATAGGCGGATTTGTCCAATTAAAACGTCTTACAAGGATCCATCCGGGTCGACGCTCATTCGCAAAACATCGAATCTAGACTTTGCCGCAGCAGCCTCTTCTTATCCCCGCGCTATATAGGTACCTACCTACCGTTATCCCTCTCGTTATCGTTATCGGGCTCCGCCTTCCGAACCGAGCGCGACTCGGGGAGCAGACAAGGATTTATGGAACTTGTCTCGAGTGCCGTTGGTATCCGAATGTCGTGCAGATTCTACCGCGTCATCGGGCAAAACACCACTCCTAATCGAAGGTGAGTGGATTGGCAGTTTATTAAAAGTAACGAGAGCTCACAGATCACAATGTTAGGGCGCGATGTTATCAACGCGTTACACAAATGTATCAGCCAAAATTGTCTGAAATATCGAAATTGGTAAAATTCTTCTATCGTTTGCCTTTTTAGTCAGATTTCAATAAGTGAATAATATCCAAAATTTGGAAAGTATATTTCTTAATACATTTCTAGTTAGCTTTCTACTAGGTCTCTAAAATATGCAATGCTTTCTAATCGTTTTAAATTTACAAATATTTCCTTATTATTTTACCAATCACTAAATCTGACATGGAAAGCAACGAAACTTATTTATTATTATTTTTTGTTACCGTTATCGTTCCTTGGAATGTTCTTCATACGAGCATCGAGGATCTTCAATCGAGAGGACGCGAAAAAAGAGCAGGTTGGTTGATCGGATAAGAAAATTGCTGCTGGGCCGAAGAGTATGAAGAACCAGGAGGGAACAGTAAAATGGCAGCGCGGAGGAGAGAAGAGAAGCAACGTCTTATGAAAATCTGAAAGTCAGCAGCCCGGAGGATCATCCCTCTATCTGATCTTAATTTATCAGGTCGCGCGCAGACAATTTGGACCACACCATTCGCACTAAATCGTTATGAAAAATGGCCAGTTTTGCTAAAATTAGCTTTCTACCGTCATTGACGTATGCGATAAAATTTCTGCTGTAAAAGGTATTTACAGCATATTAATCTGTCATCGTCTTAAGATACTTTGTATCACTTAAAAATTTTTTTTTCTACATTTTTAATATATTTTAACGTAGCATCTAAACAGAATTTTTTTTTCGGAAAGAAACAAACTTGAATTATTGATAATAATAGTAACAATAATATGTAGTGGTGATTAATCTGATCCCTACATCTCTCGACGTATTTTTGAGAAACGCAATATAACGTAGACATATGCGTGCGGCGACGAATTGTCATAATTTAGTAAGCGACAGGGAAATTCCCTTGCAAATTACGCGATAGCCGAGCGAGCTGCGGGTGACAACCGACAAATTGCCAACGATCGAAGGGAATTTAGGATCGCTACGACGGGCGTAGCGCGATGCAACGCGAGCTAGACATTGCCCTTTGCATTCCCACACGATCATATGCGCGAAAAGTATCCGCGAGACGTGGGTACACGTCGCTTCAAAGGAGCATTGTATGTGCTTTGGCATTCAGAGGACGTTCTTATCTGCCTATCCGGGGAGCTGTCAGCAAAGTTCCTGAATAATAACAGAGAGCTTGTGGAAGAGAAAGAGAGAGAGAGAGAGAGAGGGGGGGGTGGAAGGAAGAAGAGGGAAAGATAGAAACAGTGAGAGAGACAGCGAGAGGGAGGGCCGCGCGGTTCTGCTATCAGCCGCAGCTAGGATATGCCTAACTATTCTGTTTCCATGCGGCTGCCGGACGTTTCGCCGTAGATAATGTTGGCCAGGATGGTTAGATTGTTGGATGCGATTGATAAGAACCGAAAATGCCCTTCGTCCCTGAATCGGATTGTAATGAACGCGCGTAGAGCGAGCCGGCTGCATAAAGAAGCGTCGTGCCATTAATTATTCATTCACGACCACGCGAACGTAAGCGGTATCGCGTAGGCATAACTTTTTCCAACAAAAATAGTTACTAAAACATGTGTCAGGAGGGTGTGCGGTAACTCGTTGCTTATACATTCCTCCGGATATACATATTACGTTTGTGAACGTAAATAATCGTAACAGAACAGACTCGTTACCTTATAAAAATTTACGCGAGGGGGAGGCTGTAAAAGTTTGTAAGATTGTAAACCGTAAGCGCAGCTAGAATTCACTGAACAAATCTACGCTCGTTAAGGAATTCGCGTGAATAAAATTAATATGTGACAAGAGAGAGGACCTCCTTTCCGAGAGTCAGGCGAAAGAAACAGCGGTAAAATAGTTAGAGGGGAGGCCAGAGAGCGGCTTGGATGAAGTCACGAGATAGCGGAGGGGTTTGAGAATTCGAGAGCTCGCAAATTAGCCGCAGGATTGGCCTCATAATCCTTGAGGGATGCTACGGTCGGCGACGCGGCTTCCATCTTCTTGTTCCGCTCTCATTTCTCCCTCTGTCTCCTCCTTGTATTATTTCTCTCTCTTTCCGTTCGCAAGGGTAGCTGATGAGGTCATATAAACGAACTTCGCTTTCCCCTTCTTATTCTTTAATCCTACTCCTCCCTGCACTTGCGCGGCTATACTAAAAATTACGAGTAGCGAAGAAGAGGACGACCGGCTGCAGGCCAACGATTGAAAGTAATGAGCCGTGGAAGGAAAATCACCGAGGGGTAGGCCGTATTCTCCGCCGCGAGTAATCCGACGGTCGGATAATTAATCCCGTTAATTTATCGGCACCGACTCCTGACGGTGCGATCGCGCGTGTGAAGAAAGAAAAGCCGGACGAAACGCGAGTGTTCTTTTTCTCGTTTACGAGAAGCGAGACGCAATGTTTGGCCGAAGACATTCATTGATCGCGATCCTAATAGGGTTGTCCAAAAGATTACATCGATGCAATTAGTCGAGGTAGAATGTCCGAAAATAAACAGCTTTTAGAAATATTATATATATATATTTTTTAGATTTACGCTCTAAATTGTTCGAAGAGCGTGCGTCACGAATAAAGTTTTAACTCATTCGCGACAGAAAGAAGCTGTCATAGAATTAACTACGCGCGTTCTGAAGACCGAAGGAGGTTGCATAGTAATAGAGCGAATATCAAACTTAATTCCACAAGAGCTTAGTGGGGCAGAAATCGCGGTAGTGATACCACCGTGATTTCGGCCGGACCCGGCGACGACGCTCTAATTGATCTACTGCCGAATGTTACACGATTGGACGGGGGTATTAAGTCTCGGAGAGTGGACGCTTAGCGGTCATTGGCCAAGATCTATCGCGAGAGTAAAGCCCGAGGAGAGGAGATCATACCACTTAGCCCGCTCGACGCGGGAGCTCCTTTCGCGACCGTAAATAAAAGAAATCCTTGTAATGGCCTTTAGCGAAGATCCTCCCACCATCCACCCCCTACCCCCTTGTACGTCCCGTCGGCGGGCGATCCTCACCCCAGTTATTAAGCCCCGGAGGCAACCACCCCGGCGTATCAGAAGCTCGTAGGCCCGAGCGGTCGGTCCAGCCAGCAGCCGCAGTTAATTCCTTAACCCTTATAGACTTGGAGAAAATTTAGGGACCCCCGGTGATGTAGGAATAAGGGTAGGGATGTGCGCCCGCGTACATAAACCGGGGGATGGGGGATGGAGAGCGAACGGTGGGTAGTCTTGGAGAGAAACCGTGAGCCGAACCAGGAATACCAGGTGCTCCTGGGATCTTGGCGGCATCTTACGCCCGGACGATACATAATTTATGTCGCGCTCCGGTGGGCTTAAGACAGCATTAAGATCGACCGAGCACCAACATCTCCGCCACATCCGTCCCCTCCCCCTTCGTACCCATGCGGGATCTACCGGTGCCCTGCATCCGCATGACCGTTATTTGCACGTGGTAAGAAAGCGCTTACGCGGAGGCCCCGGCGATTAGCTCGCTTCACAGGCGGATAGATCACCGGATGGGTTTGGGTTGTTGGTGTACGTGAGCGCCTTGTGCGGGATACAAGGGTGTATCACGGGGGAAAAGCATAACCGCGGGACATAGA